TGTGTGATGCACGGCTTAGAGGAACGCTCCACCCAGGCTGCCGCTTTGGGGTGGCTCAGAGTTTTGCTCTTTCTTGTTCTTCCAGTGATTTTTTTTTTTTTTTTTTGGCATATTTGTTTCCTGGCCCCTTTCCTTTACATGTGTTTGGGAGTGTGGGGAGAGAAGAAAAAACATAAAGAATGGGTAGCTCCAGATCTGAAACTTTCTCCATGGAAGAAAGAATATAAACAACAGTCGTGCATCATGAATTTTCTGGACCTGCGCCACATGGCCAGTGAGCCCCCAGACTCCAGGTGGCCTTCCTGGGGAAGGCGACATTGGTCCAACCTCAGACAGAAAGGGTGGAGGAGCCTCCCGTTGGGGCAGGCTGACCTCAGGACCTCACCTCACTCCTCCTCATCCTTGGGCAGCTCTCTGGCATCCTGACCAGTTGCCTAGTCACCCGCTCCACCTGTTCCGCTGGCTGCTCCTTGGTGACCCGCTACTTTGCATGCTCACTCCTAACTCCTGCTCATAGCCCTGTCTCCACAACCTACCATGTGGCTCCATATCACTCAGCAGCCCTGTGCTGGGTGCAGAGAATCCAGTGAGGGGCGCTGAGGCCATCACATGATATAACTTATCTTTACCGCCTTCCCCTAAGAAGGGGTTGGCTACTTCCTTGGCTTCACCAGGAACGTGCTCCTCTTAGGGATACGCAGCATCCCTCCAAGGCTCATAGAGATCATCTTGTCCAGGCGTCTCATTTTCCAACAAAATTGGGCTCCCCAACGTCTAAGATGACCTTGGCAGAGCCAGACTGTAATCTGGGTCTCTAGCTCCTGTCCTGATACTTCTCCTAACTTTTGGCAAGGCCCCACCCTGCCTATCAGCAAGAATCAGAGTGTACTAGAAGTTCAGAACAGGAAGAAAACCCGGAACAACCCATTTTCTTGTAAGCTGCACAAGGAATTCCAGGGACCATTTGCCCCTTACCCGGAAAGAAGAAAGAAAATCCATCCCTAAAAATAAAAAGCGGAGAGAAATAAATGACCTTAAATATTAACCGAAAAAAAGCAGAGTGGAAAAAGTATGCACAGTATGCTACTATCTCTCCCTAAAAAGGCAGATGTAAATATATAATGATATTACATTAAAGATAATGAATAGATAAGCCATAAAACCAATAAAATGCTTATTTATGGTGGCAAAAGAGGGAGGAAGAGAAGGCAGACGTCATTGAATACCTTGTTTTGCAGATTTAGTTTGGGAACCGTGTAAATATTTTACGTAATTAAAAATAAAAATTAAATTGAAATTAAAACAAACCATTTTGCCGTGCCAGAGAGAACAGGAGTGTTACCTGAGCCAGGGTGTCCGGGCCAGCCCTGTGGCATTTATGGTGGGAGTGACCAGGAGTGAGAAGGGTTTCATAGCCATCAGTCAGGGTGCCATGGCTACTCAGGTCCTTACCCTTGGCCCACCCTGACTGTTCTTCTGTGTCCTCAGGGAGCAGAGAAGCTCTGGCTTCAGAAGGAGCAGTCTCGGCTCCCTGCACCTCTCTCCAGCTGTGGTGAGCTTGATGGGAGCCCAGGACAGCCAAAAACAGACCATTAAGAGATTATTCATAAGTTGTAGAAATATTACAATGTTAGAGCTTAATGGATCATGAGAAATCATTTTCTCTAGTCCCCACCCCTCTGCCAAATCTGCAAGCAAAGCCTGGGCTCTCCCCAGCTTTCCACTTTTTAGCTGTGTGACTTGGGCAAGTTACTTAACCTCTCTGTGCCTGTTTTGTTAGCTGTAAAATGAGGGCAGTAAGGTTGCTGTCTACCCCATGGAGTTGTGGAGGTGATTGAATCAGTTAACTTGTGTTCTTAGAGCAGTGCCTTGGACATAGTACCAGTCAAGGACCATCATTATCATGGTTGTTGTGGTTGTTGTTATTGCTGTTGTTATAAAAAAGGACTGAGGCCCAGAGAGGTGTTTTCATTAACCTGGTGGCACGTAGCTGGCAGCCGCGGAGCTGGAGTGGAGCCACCTCTGCAACCAGAGTTCCCTGTTCCTTTGTCCCTCCCTCTTTTTTGGTATTCATTGCCAGGCAGTGGATACTCAGTGGGTCTAAAGTGCTACCAGAAATGAAAGTGTGAATCCGCCCCCCAGGCCCAGCCCCCATCCTGTACCTTTGCCAGCACCGGCCCCCACTCACCCCTCAACCACACCACTTCCCCTCCTGACCTGGGCTGGTAGCGGAGACCCCCCTTGGTTTCCCACCCAACGGGAATGGGCTCGCAGGGCTGTACCGAGAGACTGTCCTTCTGCCACCCTCTCCTCCCCCTCATCTGCCCTCAGGGCCATGCTAGGCTTAGGAAGGAAACAGTGCCAGTGAATCTGCTGGCACCAGGGCCTCCTGAGGCCTCACTTTCTGGCTTCAAAACGCCCCCCTCATCCCGCGGCTCAGAAACCACTTCCCACAATCCCACAGTAAGAACCTAGACTTCCATTTCCAGTGGAGCCTGACGCTTCCTGTAGCGAGCCTGGCAGGCGCAGAAGAACAAGATGTGGTCCCCACCTGCCCTCCAGGAATGAGCTGTGACACAGGTGCAAACTCGGTTGCTAGAGACAGAGGGCATTCACCATGGGAACTGCCCGGTGACCAGGACAGTTCCCCAAAGGAGGTGGGCTCGAGCGCTTGTCGAGGCCAAGACAAGTAGGGAGGAAGTTCCAGCAGGGGAATGGCGTGGACACTCCCAGTGAAGAGGGAGCGGGCGGGCTGGAGCACAGCAGCTCAGATATCCAGGGGGTTTTCAAGCCTTTGAGACTCCCCGAGGGGCCAGCATGAGAATCCAAACCCTTCTAAACAGCCCACACTGGCACTGTACACCTGAGGTCCGTGGAAGAGGCCAGCATGCCACGAAACCCAGGGCATGCCAGAGGAGGTGTCTTCTGGGCTCGGGCCTCCTGGGTTCACATAGGGCGCAGGGGGCAGAGGAGGGGCCAAGGCACCGCGTCCAGAGTCGTGACCTGTCGGTGGCAGTCTCCTTAATGCAGCTATGACAGCAGCTGCAGGACCTCCTTACCGAGCCCTTGCTCTCTGTCAGGCACCGGGCCAAGTGAAGTTTATTTAATCTTCAGATCCTATGTAATACCGTTTATCATCATCATTCCCCCATATTAAAACAGAAAACTAAGGCGCAGGCCAATGAGAGCCTTGAGAGGAGGAGGTACCAGGGCTCTGATCTGAACCCAGCCCTGGCTGGCTCCAGAGTCAGGCTCTTACCCCCTGTGCCAAGGGTACCTTTTCACTTTTCAAATCATGCTGTGTAGACCCTGCCCATGTGGGTGGAGTGAGCTCTCGCCGGAACAGAGCTTGGAGGGCACCCCAAGACTCGGTCCCTCAGCCAAGCCATCACTCAGCCACTTTGGTGGTTTTGACCATTACGTAGTTTGGAATTATTTTTATTCTTAGTCAAATATTTAATTTTTACCCATAATGGACAGTTGGTTAGAGCAGGAAGCATTAAAGAACCCTGATATTAAAGGCTGGCTCAAGAGGAACACACAAATGGTCACAAATCTGCACGTTTGCCTCGGTGCTCTGCCTGGATCTGAGGAGACATTCGTCTAGTCAGAGTCTTTGTGGGGAAGCTCTGGGAGCCTGCAGAGCGCCACTCCCCAGGCCGGAGGGAGACATAACCTGGCTGGCATCCGATTCTGCTCACGAGGAGTCAAGACCCTCCACGCTCATGCCCTGTTTAATCTGGGCAGAAGTGGTTGCAAATGCTTCCTGAAAATCTCAGGTCTCATCATTTAGAAACAAAGGAAGAAAATTACAAAAACAAGCCAGTTGATTTTTATTTTTTAAAAAACAAACAAATGTAAAATTCAAGAATTTCAAACAGTGGGCCACGAAATCAGTTTTTGCTTTTTGTTTCTTTTTCTGCCTTAAATAGTCAAACTCTAGCCTACATGTTAGCATATATCTGGTGCCAAAGCCACAATATAATGGTAATATGTCATTTTGAAATTTCTTTGCAGAAAATCATGCTTTTGCTTTCATAACTCATTTACAATAAATGAAGGAGAAGGCATCACTTGATAAGTGGGAAAAGGTTAAATTTTGCTTTTATTCCTGGACGTTATTGAAGATCATATTAAACATGAAACTTATAATTCCCTCCCAATAACGTATCAATCTAAAAACTATGCTTTATGTAAAATAACTTATATATCATATACCATTGAAAATGACGAAATATTTTTTTTAATTCCTAAGAGTGTTTGCAAGATGATACTCTCAAGGAACTCTCAAGTCTAAAAAGTTAAGCAAGGCTGTGACCATCCCACTAAACTGCCTTAGTTTCCCCACTCATTAAAGAGCTAGGTCTCCTGGTAGGTGCCATATAGGCCCCCACTAGAGACAGGGTCTCACCTTGGGAAGCTTGACCCAAGGCAAACTTGAAAAAGCAAACTGATTTGTTTACGGTGCTGCATGGGGTCTACCCGGGCCTGTGTTCCCTGAGATGTAGAAGTTTGACCACTCTTCAGACTCTGCTTACGTTCCATCAAGGACTTCCTATGAGTCTTAAGGACACAAATGTACAGGGAGCTCTGTGTTCACCTCCGGTGGGACCACCCTTATGGTGAATGGTCTCTACAGTCTGACCTGCTGCTATGTGAAGCAGTCAGTTTTACCGTATATTATTCGGTTTGCTGGTGCCTAAGAAAATGACTTAAGAAAAATTGCCACTAAGCCTTTGTTGAGTCTAGTTCCTCCTGGAATGCCCTCTCCACTTCTCTAACCATATCCTACTCATTTTTTAAAACTTGATTTTGACCAAATTTCAGACATACGGAAAAGATGTAAGAAAAGTACAAAGAATTCACATATATTCTTCATCCAGATTCCTCAAATTTTAACATTTTACCACATTTGCTTTGTCTCTATCTCTCTTATATACAATTTCTTTCTGACCTGTTTGAGAGCAAGTTGCCAAAATGAGGCAAATACTTCAACTGTGTTCTTTTTGAAGACATTTATTTATCATCACAGTACAGTGATCAAAATCAGGAAACTAGCCGATAGAATTCTGCTATCGACGCTATAGTCCTGCTTCTCCTGTGATTCTAGACCGTGGGTTACATTTAGTCATCATGGCTCTTTAGTTCCCAAGTCTTTGTATTTCATGACATTGACTTTTTTATGAAATGACTAGCTATTTTTGTAGGAGATCTCTCAATTTGGGTTCCTCCGCCATTTCCTCTTGATCAGACTCAGGTTAAATGCACCTGATGTTGTGGTGCCCTTCTCGCTGCACCCCATCGGGAGAGTCACGCTGTCCTTGCGTCCCATGACCTGTGATGTTAACCGATTACTTGGTTAAGGCAGTGTCTGCCAAGGTTTTCCACTGTAAAGTTACGAGATTTCCCTTAGTAATTAAGAAATAGCTTGTGGGGAGATATTTTGAGACTATGCCAATATTCTGTTTTTCTGAAACTTTCACCCACTAGCCTCCATCGATGACTCTTGCTTGGAACAATTATTATTATGGTGGTTGCCATATGATTTTCTAATTCCACCATTTCTTCCAATTTTACTAGTTGTCGTTCCACTGTCAGGGAGAGCCTCTGGGTGATTTTAAACTCACTACTCTAAGCCTCAGGCCCCCAGTATTTATGGGCTAAGAAAAGCAAGTCCTTGTCACCTATCTTAACATCCCTGAATGTATACAGTGAATCCTGGCTGATGGGTATTTAATGTGAAAGCTATTAGTATCCTGCTATAGTTTACCTGTGCTTTGGAAGATTCAGCCCAGGAACCCATCTGCAGAGCAGCAGTGTCCCAAGATGGCTGGGCGAGCCTGGGGTACTTGATGTGCGTGAAGCTGTCGAGTGGCTCTCCCTCCACCATAAGTCTCACCATGGCCTTGTCAGTTCTACCAGCCCTGGCTGAAAAATGGGGCCCGAGGGAGGCCCTACTTCAGCTAACTCCATTTCACATTTCCTCTCCTTCTCGGGATGGAAAAAATGGCCCTTCAGGGACGAAGCAAACCTGTCAGTAATGAAGTTATAAGGGAGGAGGCTATCCCAGGAGGGTGGCCAGGGTATGATAGCTGATGGAGTGATGTAGGCGGGCAGCAGGCAGTATTTCCCTGGAGAGCCTGGACGGTCGGTGCTGCTCCACTGCCCACATAGCCGAACCAGCTCAGGGATTACCCAGGGTGCCCCGCTTCCCAAAATGGAGCCATCTTTCCTTCACCTTTCCCAGAGTCCTCCAGGGCTAGCAGAGGCAGAGGGGTGAGTAGGCAAGGTGAGTCCTGTGCTCATCCCTTTCAGCTCTACCCCTCCTCACCTGTTTTCCAGTCATGAGGTCCATTTTGATTAATAAAACAAATGAGGGGCAGAGAGGTTAGGTAGCTTGTCTAAGACCACCCAGCTAGATATGGACAATACGAGGGTGTGAACATGGGTGTGTCAGGTTCCCAAGTTGCCACCCCATCATACTGCCTCTTCAGGTGAAGACTCCTAGGAGGACTGCTGAGACCCAGGCGGGCCTCCTGGAGGAGGTGCTGATTGCAGAATAGGTAGGTGAGAGATAGGAAGTCTCCAGAGCTAACTGTTGGTTGGCGATTGGATACCTCCAGTGACAGGGAGCTCACCATGTGCCCAGGCAGCCCTCTCTACTGTGGGGCAGCTCCCTCTGTGAGGAAGGTCCTCTGCTAGGTGAGCTCAGGCCGTTCTTGGCCTTCCTTTCCCCATAGTTCAGAAGGACTCAGCAGCTGGTCACCCCTGGGATTTAAAATTGCTCAGAAGACCTCCTCTCCATGCGCCTTCCTCTTTGTCCTACCTGTTCCAGTGTGAGGGCTGTTCCACCGAATGGAGATGGTGAGATTCAAATAGGTGACGAACAGGGCTGGTTCCTGAGTAGGCCTCTGAAGTCGTGCCTGCAGCAAAGTGAGATAACATGGCCAGCTGTGGTGGCCACTGATGGCCAGGCTTTAGGCTGGGAGTAGAGGAAGTCACTGGAGATAGACCTCACACCTCTGAGGACCTTGTGGACAGTGTTTCCCTTGAGATGATAGTGGTGAGTATTTGTCAATGAAGACTTTCATGGTGAGAAACTATATCTAAAATACAGCCCTTAAAGGCCAGAATGAGAGCAGAAGCCAAAATCCGGACATCCGGGGGTTTCTTCCTTGATTCCTGACACTTGAAACAGCCTATTTCTCCACAACCTCATTTTCCCACCTGTACTATGGGTGTGCTAATGCTCATCACTTCCTCTAAATAGCTGATGGATTTATGCTATATTTCATGGAAAACCTACAATGTAATATTATTACAAGGAAACACTAATATAATGTTTACATCGACTCCTTTAAAACACATAGGAAAGGGGGAAAAAATAAAACACATAGGAACTCTGAGATGGATACCCTTTTTGTCTCCATTTTAGAGATGATCAAGCTAAGGCCCAGAGAGGTTAAGGAACTTGCCCAACATTGCACAGCTAGAAGTGCAGAGCCAAGATTTGAACTCTGGGGGTCTGGCTCCTAAGTCTATACTTTGAACTATGACACTATATTGCCTCTTGATAAATACCCTGGAAGTTTGTATTCAGCACCTTCTGTGTTCCAGGTACTGAGGGGCTATGGGAGGCCACACAGTGTGTCAAATACACAGGCGTAGCTGGGCCTCCTCGGTTTTTTAGGAAGAATTGATGGGAACTGGTAGGATCTTCAGACTCCAGGAAGATGGCATAGCCAGATTTTGCTTCCTGCTGTTCATTTACATGACTTGATCAATTTAGCCACACATAGCGAGACCTAGAAAATCCAACATCCTAGCTGAGACTGACCTGTATCTGTGGCTAGAGGCCACCAGCCTCTGAGCGAGCGCCCAGGTGGACACGTAGCTTGGCGGATGCCTGGACTCTCCAGCAGGCTGCACTGAGGGTCCACAGGCTGGACCTCGGAGGCTGCAGGGCTTGGCAGGGCCAGGCGGAAGGGCGAGGGCCTTCCCCTGGAAACTCTCCACCGGGGCAGCCGCGTGCTCTTCCCATGACATCACGCTGCCTCCGAACGTATGAGGCCAAGGATTCTTGGAATGCCTGATTCACCCTGGAACAAAAATAATACTTCATATTCGTAATGTGCCTTTGTTCCCCAAACGCTCTCCCGGGCTTGATTGTATTGAACTTCAGACCAGCCTTGTGACCCAAGCAGGAA